TTGGGATGTGACAGCCACTGAATTTGCCCCACTTTGCCAACACCTTGTTTGGGTATGAAAGACTTGATACTCCACTTGGGTCTCACAATGATCTGGCACTACCACAGGTTCATAAACTGGAGAAGCTGATAGCAAGCCTCCCTTCCCTGAAGGGACATGCAGTAGACCAGTTCATCACAAGTAAGCAAGCATTTATGCTCAGCTAAGGCAGCTTAGAGATCTGCCCAGTTCCTAGGGCTGCTCTTACATAAGATTTTTTTAAGCCCTCTTCTAGGCCTTTTGGATGGATGAACAGGAATTATTTGAATTTCTAGCAGTTTGTTAATCCTTGCTTGTATTGTACAAGAGGTATATAAGCAATCACACCACAGGGTATGTAACTGCATTAGGTCAGCTGAGTACAATCTCCCTATTTTATGCCTTTTAAATGAGGTGTTCAGCCTCCTGCCTAACTCCTGACGTGATCTTGGGCAATTTTTAGCAGATCTGACAAAGATTTTCAATATCCTTTTCTGTGCTGGGTAAGCAGAGCATCTTAGTGGAATTCTGTTTGCTGAATCTCCTCAGGTGACCATGGCCAACTTAGACATTCCTTTTGCCATGTTTGCTCCGAAGAATGTTGAGCTGGAAGATAACGACCCCATGGTAAGCCTCTTCCAGAGGTACAATATGTGCCTTCTCAGCATCCCTTACGCAACATCCATGCTATTCCCTACCTGAATACACTTCGGTTTTTGAACAAAGAACTAGTTATTCAGATTTGTTTTGTTTCAAGAAATCTCCTAGACATGCAAATAACAGTGCTTGCTGCCCCTGCTGTAGCATGTGTTTATTGTCCAACGTCCTAACTGGCCCCACACTGTCAAAATACATAGACAGACTTGATCATAAGATCAGTACTCACGGTCTTTGATTTCTTGGGCAGGTCAATCCTCCTGACTCCCCAGAAACTGAGTCTCCTCTACAAGGCAGCTTACACTCGGAGGGCTCCAGTGGCAGCAGCACAGGGAACACCCATGATGACTTTGTTATGATTGACTTTGTAAGTGCCTCACCAGTGCTCTCACATAACACTTGCATCTTAGGTGGGCTTCACATGCTGCTACAACAGCAAATGACGTAAAAGTAGTTTTCAATGGGGGTGGAAAAGACCCATGATTCACAGTTCCAATCTAGAGCGCGATAGTCCCAAAACTGCAAAGACACTGATACTTGGAACCAGCAGCTACAAATTAAATCCCTACCAACACCTGGGCTTGGCATCCTCTCTCTAATGCCTAAAGGAGCCAGATTCTAAGGAAATGCTTTCTTCCAAGTGCTGAGGCAAGCACAGATCTTGACTGTTCTTCAATTATTTAATCTGCATCATTGCAGCAACAGTTGTAATACCAAGATGTTTACTGATAGCAGCTAATGACTTTACCTGAGATTGTGGCAAAAGGGAAGCCAATGTCTCTGAATGGGAATTAACAGCAGTATCTTTGATTCTAGAAACCAGCATTTTCAAAAGATGACATTCTTCCAATGGACCTGGGAACGTTTTACCGTGAGTTTCAGAACCCCCCTCAGCTCAGCAGCCTCTCCATTGACATTGGAGCACAGTCCATGGCAGAGGATTTGGTACGGAACCCTGAAATTTTTGTTTGCGGGAATCTTATGTTCTTTATAATGCTCTCCCTATTCCTAGTTTGAAAAAAGTCATACCTTCATAGAATCATAGAGTAGTTCAGGTTGGAAGGGACCTTTAAAAATCATCTAGTCCAGCCCCCCTGCAATGAGCAGAGGCATCTTCAACTACATCAGGTTTCTCAGAGCCCCATCCAACCTGACATTGAATGTTTCCAGGGATGGGGCATCTATCACCTCTCTGGGCAACCTGTTCCAGTGTTTCACCACCCTCATCATAAAAAATTTCTTCCTTATATCTAGTCTGAATCTACCCTCTTTTAGTTTAAAACCATTAGCCCTTGTTCTGTCGCAACAGGCCCTACTAAAAAGTCTGTCCCCATCTTTCTTGTAACCCCCCCTTTAAGTATCATAGCATGGTTTGGGTTGGGAGTGACTTCAAAGATCATCTAGTTCCAACCCCTCTGCTATGGGCAGGGAAACCCTCCACTACACCAGGTTGCCCAAAGCCTCATCCAACCTGGCCTTGAACACTTCCAGGGATGGGGCAGCCACAACTTCTCTGGGCGACCTGGTCCAGTGCCTCACCACCCTCATAGTGAAGAATTTCTTCCTTATATCTAATGTAAACCTAACCCCCTTTCAGTTTAAAGCCATTGACCCTTGTTCTGTTCACTACACGCCCTTGTAAACAGTCCCTCTCCAGCTTTCTTGTAGGCCCCCTTTTAGGCCTGGAAGACTGCTATAAGGTTGCCCTGGAGCCTTCTCTTCTCCAGGCTGAACAGCCCCAACTCTCTAACCTGTCTTCATAGGAGCGGTGTTCCATCCCTCTGATTACTTTTGTGGCCCTCCTCTGGACTCACTCCAACAGCTCCATGTCTTTTCTCTACTTCTTGGAAGAGAGACTCTGCTCGAAGGGGGTCCCCCACTGATATGTTCCAGACAAATACAAATTTGTTTGTGACACATCTGAACCTCTGAAACTGGTGTGATTGTCCTCAGGCTGAAAGCTGCTGCAGCATGCTTGCTGTGGCTGTCATTGAAACACCCAAAACTAATCCTGTGTAGCAACTTAGTGGCCAGCTGGGCCTGATCTTGCAGCCTGAGCAGAGGTAAAATCCTGGTGTGGCTGGTGAAAGTCATGTCTGGGTGAGGGCTGTGTCAGGCTCGCAGGTGTTGTAACATACTGCAGGGAAAAATGACTACCAAAGGCTAAGAGCTGCAAGTGACTTGACGAAGGCAGTGACACGAGCAGGATACGGTGCTGCAGCTGGTGGTGGGAACTGCACAAGGCAAGGCCCAGTGCACTTACTGTTCCTGCAGAACAAACACACTCTGGGCAGAGTGCCCTTCTCAGGGTCATTTGCTGGATGCTGCCAGAGGACTCCTGGTGTTGTGCACGTGGGAAGAGGAGCTCAGAGCAATGGAGAGGGGTTGCGTGACTCAGAAACAGATTTTTTGCCTTAGAGTGTGTGTTTAAAGCTTCCTTTTATCTGCTGTGAATAAGCCCTGATCTGCATCCTTCTTTACCCTTCCAGGACTCGTTACCAGAGAAGCTGGCAGTTCACGAGAAGAACGTCAAAGAGTTTGATGCCTTTGTTGAAACCTTGCAGTGAAGCTGTTTTCCAGTTTTGCTGCAGCAGTTCTTCCTCCTCAAGGCATCCTGGAGAATGACGTCAACGAACATCTCTTATCGCCCCTGCTCTGCCTTTTGTCTCACTTTGACTAGTTCCTTCCCTCAAGTGAGCTTTCTTTGACTGCTCTCTTCAACAGCAGATACAGCTCATCTGCTGATTTTCCTCAGCTATACCACCGTGTAGTTCTGGAATGCTTTTCCTGCTCACAGTCAGTTTTGAACTTAAGACTTCAGTAGGGACACAGGAAGTCAAACTCCAATGTATTAAACTTACTTTCTCTTCAGTCTCTGTTCTGTGTGGAGGGACTTTGTGAAAAGTTGCTATATGCTTCCTCCAGAGGTCCTGTGGTGTAAGTTCCCTAGGTATAGCTTCTTGCTAACAGACTTTTTCCTACAGTGTCCAATCCTGTTAGAGCATAGAAAGCTTTGGCTCATATCCAAGGTCTGTGAGTTCAGCAGATTCAACAGTTTTAAGTCCAGGACATCCAGTCTGCAGAACGGGGCATTTCATCCTGACTTCAGTGTGAGTGCCGGGAGCCCAGGGAGAGACGTCAGCTTTGGGACCTGTGTAATACAAGTTACCTTTTCTCTGTGAGGCCTTCTGTTGTGCTTGCTGATAAGC